CTGAAACATTACGGGAGAACGGTGGAAAGCAGTTAGTGCAACAACAAAGAATTCGGGGGGGGGGGGGGAATACCGTACTCATGCCATACCTGCTGCCGTCAGCTGCTCTTGCCCCTCTGCCTCAAACCACCTCTGGTACTGCTGGCGGTCCGACGCCTTAAAGCTCTTGTTGATGCAGACATCGAGCGGCTGTACCTCCGCCGTACAGCCCGACGGGATGATCGCCGGCACGCAGTTCATCTCGCGGAGCTTCTCCTTCACCTCCTCGGTGAAGTGACCGCGGTAAGAATCCAGCACCAGCATCGAGCTCTTGGCGTGTCTGCCGAACCGAGGCTTCAGGAACGGCTTCACGCCCTCCTCAAGCCAGCGAACGACGCCAGGGGAGTCCATCCACCCGTTCTCGTGGCAAGCCACGGCCACATCTGCATTAAACACGCACGGGTGGTTAGAATTCGAACTCTGAAAAGAACGCAGTGACTGAGCCGTGCACCTCTTTACTTACCGGCAGGGAAATCGCCCTTCGGCAAGGTTTTGCGCTTGAAGAACACCCACGGATTCAGCTTCCTTCCGTCTGCCGTGCACGCCAACATCACGGTCACTCTCTGCTTCTGATACCCCGCGCTCCTGATAGGCACCGAGCGAACACCCGTTTCCTCCACGGTGGTGGTGGCAGGCATATCCAGCCAGAGCGGCGTCTGGTCCGCGTTGATGATCCACGCGGTGTCGATGCCGCGCTCACAACGCTTGGCACGCACGAACTGCCAGAAGCTCTTGCACTGCTCAGAGACATCTGCACAACGGTGGAAGAGACGTCGGACACAGACGGAGGGCGTTAGTACAATTAAAGAAAAACAACGTGCCAAATTTAACGGGGTAATTCTCACGCGCGGCAGTTTTCTGGGCAACCCGGGTCTTCATGCGGACGCTCAGATTCCATCGCCGCCGAAAGCGCTCCGACCACCTCTGGCTTCCTTTCCACTTCTTGTCCGGGTACAGAAGCTTCATGAACTCCCGCGACCACTCCTGCAAGCGGCCGACTGACACGGCGGTTCCCTTGCGGCGCCACTCGAGTAGCTTCTTGTACACCTTCAACTCCATTGGCCGGTACCACGACGCTCGCCCGCGGCCGTGCATGCGCTTCCGAGCGGAGTGAACATCCTTGAGGAATTCCGCCGTCCGCTTCCAGTTGGTGAGACACTTCCGGTGGATTCCGCTCTCGCGAGCCAAGGCGCGCACCGACACCGCCACGTCCATCAGAGCAACCCACTTCAACTTCTCCGCGGCGGTGTAACCTTGCCGCTTGTGGTCGGTGAGCTTATGCCTGGGAGAGGGGGGGCGGGCATCACGGTTCTGTGAAGAGGGGTGGGGTCGCTTGCGATTATTCGGAGGATAGGTTGGTATGGGCAGTTTCTCGGGTAGCCCGTCGCGTGACCAGTACTCAACGCCGTCGTCGTCATCGTCGCCCGTAACACCTTCTGGAAACACATCCTCAGCGGTGCCGCCCTGGGCGTCGCCCCCGGCGGAAGCCTCCGTGCCACCCTCGGCGCCGTTAGCGCCGCTCGCTTCCTCAGCGTCAGCAACATCATCGTCGGCGCCGACCGCAGATTCGTCCCAATGGCAATCGTCAGGCTGTCCCCAACGTCCTCCAAAAGCGTGTTCCACTTCCACGTACTCATCTTGCGCCTTGTTAGACTCCGGTTCGGAGAGGTATTCGTCGAACGCCGATGGGAGCAGTAGCGTGAGCACGGGCTGATTGCCAGTGAGTTGCGGAGACACAGGACCCGGAGGCGGAGCAGCAGGAGGAACAGGAGGCACAGGAGGTGCAGGAGGCGAAGGAGGAGCAGGAGGCGCAGGAGGCCGTGGTGGCTCTGGTGGTTCTGGTGGGATACGGGAGTATCACCCGTCAGCGTCTACTCTAAACACGGGCCTTCGCGTAGGCTTTTTCTTGAACAAGAAGTGGGTGCCGCTGAATTCCGCCATGGCTTCGGCAGCCAGGCGAGAACGACCAAGAAACTGAACGAGAAACTGAGAGAAATGGAGAACAAATGAGAGATTCAAAGGGACCCCTTCTGGTTAGCGCCTCGGGGTCCTCGTCGGGGAGAGACGGGTACCCCCTGTCTGAACCCAGAGAGGAGGTTATCGCGGCACGAAGATGCTGCGCTGGCAGGGCATTCCAGCCCCTTCTCGATGGTTCAGGTGAAATGCAGCTGCCTGCCAGCGCACGAAAGCCTGATTGGGCCGCAAGGCAACTTTCACGTCAGCGCTGGCAGGTGCGCTGCTCCTGGACGGGATTTGTGCGGTCGGGAATCGAAGCGCAGCAGTTTTCGGCGGGATTACATGCATTATCCCACGCGCACGTTACTCAATTATGTTCGCCTTATTGCGGGCTTCGATTTGGTACATAAAAATAACAAATTCATTTTTGCCATGATATAAGCGCTGGCGCTTATGGCCGTTATTCAATTATAAGCGCCACCCCTAAAAAAATGATTTTATTATAGGCGCATATGCGCCTATATCCGGGGTAATACGGTAATACCCGGATCTTTACATATGGTATATTTTAGTGTTAGTGTTTATTTAATTAGACAATGTGGGTGTTTTGATTTTCATTTTAACATCACTGTCTGAGGCGCGAATGTGGGTTTCGGCCACGAGCTTCATCACCCCCACGAAAATGCCATGTGGCACCTGTCTTGCCACTTGCAGCGGAAGATTCGCCTGCACGTGGTCACAGCGAAGTAGTGCGAGGGGGGAAATCTCGGTAGATTGTAAGTGAATGTACCGCGAAATTTCATATAGGGAGAAATTTTCGCGATATTCTTCAATATTGCAGCTACTCGTTAACGACTATTAAAACGAATTCGTAAGAAAAGGGGGGTGTTATAGAAAATCAGCAAAAAAGGGGGGTATAGTAGAAACGAGGTCTATCATAACACCCACCCCGCACAAGCTACCCGGGGGTGTACAATTCCGGGGGGGTGTTTTGTCCGGGAGAATACGGTATTGGAGCATCATGCCCTCTGGAGGATTTATGACACAGCCTGCACCCATAGCCAGCCGAGCATGGCTAATGCAGCCTCCCGTCATACACATGCCCTATCAGGAACAATATCGAAAGGAGATGATCAAAATGCAGGTCTTACTACTACTGTGGATAACACCTTCAAAGCAATACCTTGGTGCTTTATTCCATCCTACATACGACATATGCCCTTTACTCTGTGAAGATGATCCTCCTGTCCTCAGCCTGATCGCTCTGCAGCATGCAAGTTGAGCCGTGCACCACCACCATACCCGCCTCACTCCTGCAAGCAAAACTCCCCTTGTTCTCCACTCCCCTTCCCTGCACGCCTCTCCTCAGTCTCCCCTAGAGAGTCAACGCCAACCCTTCCACGAGCTCAGCTCCCTTCTAGCATCACTCCCTGCCACTCTACCAGCCTATCTGCCTGCGGCCCCCTTGTGGCTCAAAGAGTTGTCTCAAATTGGTCAGGACAGTCAGCTGCTGCAGCCCATCATCCGTGACTGCCGTGCCATCCAGCCAAAGACTCTGAAGCGCTGCCAGCCTCCCCACATGCACCATGCCAGCATCTGTCACACTCATGCATCCTGTAAGGCTCAATATTCTGAGAGAGGGAAGATGTGTCAAGGACAGTAATCCAGCATCGGAGACCTTGGTTCGATCAAGATAGAGGCTTTTCAGACTGGTGATGGAGCCAATCCCTTCCATGGCACTGTCTGAGATGTCTCTGCCTCTGAAGTCTAGCTTCTCCAGCTGTGGAAGCTTGTACAGGTGCTTGATGGCCTCTGCAGTCAAGCCTGAGAATGCTGTCCACCGAAAGAAGCCCGGTTTATATTGCAGGTCTATGCCCTCCACATGGGTCATTGTCGAGACGTGGGCGAGGATGTCATCTGAGAGGCCGTTGAGATTGGCCAGGCTCAGGTCGGTTCCTTGTGATGCTGCCTTGATTCGCTGGCGGAATTGGATTTGGGGGGGGGGGGATAGATTAAGGAGGGAATATAAAGGACTATCAAATAGTGCATGAACTGTGAGACGATGGATGCCTTTTGAAACAACTACTCACCTCCCATGCAGTCTTCTGACTGCCCCAACTCTGGCAAATTTGCAGTTCAACGTGAAACTTCATCAGTGCATCCTTTTGTTGAGCCAACTCAGCATTCAACCTCAAAACCACATCCTTTTGTTTAGCCAACTCAACACGCATCTTCATCATTGCATCCTTCTGCTCAGCATGCATCTTCATCATCCCATCCTTTTGTTGAGCCAGCTCAGCATGCATCTTCATCATCCCATCCTTTTGTTGAGCCTGCTCAGCATGCATCTTCATCATCCCATCCTTTTGTTGAGCCAGCTCAGCATGCATCTTCATCATCCCATCCTTTTGTTGAGCCATCTCAGCATGCATCGTCATCATCCCATCCTTCTGTTGGGCGAGCTCCCTCTTCACTGCCCCCAGTTCCATCTCCATCTGTGACCAAGCATGATTTCTACACATGCCAGCACATGGGAAGACACGCACGGAATGAGCAGACAGAAGGTTGGGGAGAGAAAATAAGAATGGGGCAATCAGAGGTGGAAATGAGCTGAAAGACCTGAGATTCAAGCAACATGGGAAATGCTTATGATAGTGTCAAGAGATGGGGTAACACGCGGATGTGAAGGCATAGCTATGTTGGATATATAGCTCTGAGAGACTAGTGTCAAAACACATTTTGACACATGATGCTAAACGCCTGGAGAAAATGGTTTCGGCAGACCCATTATAATCCCCTCGAGTTTTTGCAGGTCGAGAGCACCCAAACGAGCGGGTAGAGAGACAACCCAGCCCAACTCCCAACCCCCATCACACATCACTATACGATACAAAAACTAACATGATACCTCCAGGACACGTTTTTCACTTGTCACTTAATCCATTTATAACGTCCAAGTCTTAGGCATAGAAGACTGCTAGGCCGCTCCTGGACGTAGATTAGTAATGTGTCCCCTCACCCCAAATACACGACGGCAGCGGCGGGAAGGAAAGCCACGAGCAGACCTAGCAGCAGCATGGCCACTGCTGACCGCCAAGGCATGGTTGATGGGGCGAGCCCAACGCAAGGCGTGTGCCTGGAGAGTGAGGTGCGGCACGGTAAGCATGGGGAAAGGGGGAAGAAGGAGCAGCGGACGGAGGGGGGCAGTGGCAAGAACTGTGAGACAGGTTCTGTACTGAGTGCACATGAGGAGATAGATGGAGCACGCAGTCATGGGCGGCAGAGGGTTAGAGCTGAGATTTGCAAACAATAAACACACGAAACAACAAGATGGTGGTTTGTAAGGCAGCAGGGGGAGGAGGGGACAAGCAGCAAAGGCAGGAGGGGGGTGGAGAAGAAGCGAGGATGGAGACAAATGGAGAATATGGGCAAGGGGGCCACTCGGATGCCAATAAGACTGGTTGCAAGTAAAGTAGGATCACATGGTCAACGTCCAGTGCCACACCTGATTCACATCATTCTCACAACCCACTTTTTCTCCGTCACTGCTTCTGCCAGCTTCCCTTTCACTTTTGCCACCTCCCCCTTTACTTCCGCCACCTCCCCCTTAACTTCCGCCACCTCCCCCTTTACTTCCGCCACCCCCCCTTTTACTTCCGCCACCTCCCCTTTTACTTCCGCCACCTCCCCTTTTACTTCCGCCACCTCCCCTTTTACTTCCGCCACCCCCCCCTTTTACTTCCGCCACCTCCCCGTTTACTTCGGCCAACCCCCCCTGCACTGAGGCCAGTTCCTCTGTCACTGTTGCAAACAGCTGGCTAACTGCCTGACCATGCTCATTCACCTCCTTTTCCACAGCCATTGTTTCAATCCACAACTATGAAGAGTTTACAACAGTGCTGGGGTTCAGCCAAGGTCGTTCCCTCCTGGAAAGTGGACAGGAGTGGGGAACAGTTGAATGGATTCAGGTGGAGTGAAGAGAGGCCAGTAGGAGCAGGGATGTTGAAAGGCGAGGGGGAAAAGAATGAAACACTTTTTCGTTAATGCAACAACGACTATGCATACTGCATGATAGGTTAACCACACGGCCCGTTTACAGCAGGGTAGATTAACCACAGGAAAGCTTTATTTGACGATACTTCTTTCACAAAATAGGCCTACCACAGAGGATACGTTCACCACATAAACAGGGGCGTGCAGGCTTGTCAGTCACTAGCTTACTCACATGCTGAGTCACTCATCTCGTAGCCTTGCAAGGCTAGGTAGCTCAGACCTAAGCTGGAAGATATACTTCAAAAGCTATGCATTCTGTGTGAATGCATTGTCACATTGACGCAATACAATATACCCTCTTAGATACTCCATGCTAAAAGATGAAAACAAAGGGCTGACAAAAGGCGTCTTTTCCTTAACATAAGGGAATTAGTGTTTTTTGTGTTGCCAACTCACTAAATTTGCTGGCCACCCTCAATGACACCATACCCTTCGCCTTACTCCCATGTTCCCTATCCACACAGATTTGATACAGATTTGATTTACTCGTGTTTTCTGCATCCTTGTCTACGTGCACAGCTTAGCCGCATTCCCATAAAGTAAAGAAACAGAGATCGGTCCCCTTAGCCATGTATGAATCCCAAACGCCCGGGTGCAACGAACCGTATTTTGATATTCTACTTCATAAAAAAATAAGCATTTTTCACAGGATGATAGACACCACAGTCCCAAAAATAAGCATTTTTCACAGACTAGCCGCCACAGTGTAGGTCAGTCAAAGGCTACGTCAACCAGACACTAGATCCCTAAGATATAGGACAGTTAAGAGGCTAGCTCGCCCATCACTAGGTCAGTTAGCCAGAACCTATGCTAGTCAAAATCCACAAGGTAGGTCAGTCACCAGCTAGGTCAATCGGAGGCGAGGTCAAACAGAGGCTAGGTCACTAAGTCAATCACGAGCCAAGTCAATCACGAACTAAGTCAGACACACGTTAAATCAGTGAGAAGTTCAACCAGTCAGAGGCTAGGTCACTCACAGTCTAAGACACTCACAGGAGGTCAGTCCTGGGATAGGTCGGTCACAGCTACGGTAGGTCCACATAAGCTAGGTATGACACGTAGGTAAGATAGTCACAAGACAAGTCAGGTGACATCTTGTCTGACCTAGGTCAGACACGAGCTATGTTAGTCATAGGCTGGTTCACTCACAATCTTGGTCAGTCACAAGCCAGGTCAACCATACCACACACAAGGTTAGACACAAGCAGCGAGTCGAGATTAGACTCGACTAGACTCTTTGTCGAATCAAGTGACAAGTCAGTTCTTGTTCTGATCTGGCTCGAATCGAATCGAGTCAAGTCGGCTCGGCCTGATGGGCAATGCATTGCCTGACAGACCGGGCATTTGTCGAGTCGGCACTCGCCGAGTCGGTGATGCGACGCGGCGCAACGGCGCTGACTCGTCTCTAGTCGACTAGGTTGTTGCGACCCATTTCCCGCACCTACCTGGGTCAAACAACATTTTGCTAAAAAAATGGAAGTTTGGAAATCTAATTTCGGCCTTTTATCTTTCTTTTCTTAAAGTCATGATGTTAGACTACAATCTTATTCCTTAACACCGGACTATTCACTTTAGCTCCAAGCCGTTTCTACCGTAGCACCAAGCAATCAGCTTTAGGTCGTTTCTACCTCGACTCGGGTCAGAGCCGATTCGACTCAGAGTCGACTCTACTCGACCTGTGCATATGTCTAGGTCGGTCACAGGCTAGGTGAGACAAGTTTGGTCAGTCACGGCAAGATCAGTCACAGGCTGGGTCACTCACCACCCAAGGCTCCGACCTCGCCGACGTGTTGGCCGTCGTGCACATCGACTTGTGCGGGCCGTTCCGCGTGGCTGCCAAGGATGGCAGCTTGTACTTCTTGCTGCTGAAGGACCACAAGACCCGCTACGTGCGGGTGAGGCCGGTCGCCAAGAAGTCGGACGTGCTGCTGGATTTCCAGAAGTGGCTGGCGGTGGCTGAGCGACAAACAAAGAAGTCGGTACTGATGGTGCGCTCTGACCGGGGAGGGGAGTTCCTCGGAAAGCAGTTCACCGACTTCGTGGATGGCAAGGGGATCATCCACGACCTGACCTGCCCCTACACCCTACAGCAGAACGGCATGGTGGAGCGGGAGATGCGCACGGTGGTGGAGTTGGTGAGGACGATGCTGCTGCACATGGGCGTGCAGCACCACTGGTGGCACCTCGCTCTGCGGCAGGCCGTCTGGGTTCGCAAATGCCTAGAGCGGTCGGCGCTGCTGCCGAGGACGACGCCGTACCAGCTGTTCACCAGGACGAAGCCCGACCTGTCAATGGCACGTGTGAGGGGCTGCATGGCGTAGTTCCTCGTCCCCGAGCAGCAGCGTGGTGGGAAGTTGAAGCCGAAGGCCAGGTGGGGCCTCCACCTCAGGGTGTCCGTGGAGAGCAAGGGCTGGGAACTCCTTGACATCGCCGACAACCGGGTGGTCACTACATCGGACGTGGAGTTCTACAAGAACATGTCGTTGGAGGTCTGGAAGTCGGAGCACGGGCCGGCGTCAGGGCGGACGCCGACCACCCCGCCGACGGACTCCTCGACGGCGACGCTCCCTCTGCTCGCCAAGGTCGGTGAGCCTGCTGCTGAGGACGTCGAGGATGTCTCCTCTCCCTCCCCCTCCCCTACCCCTCCTGTCCCACCCCTTGTAGCCGACCAACGTAGGGTGACTCCGGTGTCGGCCTCCGGCGATGAGGGGAGCAGTGGGGCGTCACCAAAGGCGCCCACCAAGAGCATCGCCGGTGGCCGTCGTGACGCCCAGCAAGTCGACATGAGAGTGATGTCGACGCCGGCAAGGGAGGAGCAGACCGAGGAAGTGCAGCCAACGATGGTGAAGTCGGCAAAGGGGGCAGCAACACGGCAGCAGCCGACAGGGGAGCAGGCAGCGGCGAAGCCGACCACAGAGCAGTCGGCGATCGGGCAATCGGCAGGGGAGCCGACTTCAGGGGAGCAGTCGACGGGGACACCGACCGTGGTGCAGCAGGACGCTGAGGGCAGCGATGACGGTGACGATGAAGGGGAGGCCGAGGAGTCTACCGACAGCGACGTGGTGGAAGTCCAAGGTGGACCACGGCGTACGTGCCGACTTCGGAGGCCGCCTGATTTCTTTGTCCCCGCTGCCTTCACCGCGGTGTACGATGTGGGTGCCGATGATATGGCGTACGATGACGCTGAGGACGATGACGAGCTGCCGGAGCTCGACCGCGACATGCACGCCGATCTCGAGCACCGCTGGGACATCTTGACGATGACGGTGAAGGAGGCGCTGGCAAGCTGGAAAGGCGTGGCGGTGAAGGCCGCCATGGAAGAGGAGATCTGCAGCATGTCGGCATGGGGACGTGGAAGCTGGTCGAACGCCCGCCGAGAGTGAACATCATGAAGAACCGGTAGGTGCTGACGACGAAGTACCACATCGACGACACCGTCGAGCGCGAGAAGGCAAGGCTGGTCGTGAAGGGCTTCACGCAGGTGTATGGCGCCGACTACGACGAGACGTATGCGCCGGTGAGCAGCTACGTCACACTGAGGATCTTCCTCAGCATCGTCGCCGTCCTCGACCTCAACCTGATGCAGCTCGACATGAAGAACGCCTTCCTGCAGAGCAAGCTCGACCAGGTGCTGTACATGTACCAGCCAGACTGCTTCAACGACGAGACCGGCCGGGTGTGCAAGCTGCTGAAGAGCCTCTACGGCCTGAAGCAGTTGCCGATGTTGTGGTACAGGGCTCTCGACGGTGTGCTGCTGGGCGCTGGCTGGAAGAAGAGCTAGGTCGACACGGCGCTCTACTTCAAAGTCGGCGACGACAAGGTGACCTGCTAGGTACTGGTCTACGTCGACGACCTGCTCGCCGCCAACAGCAGCACCGAGATGCTGAAGGATCTGCTGGAGGACGCCTTCGAGCTGCGCGAGATCTCGCCGGTGCAGAAGTACCTCGGTCTGGAGATCATCCGCGACAGGTCGGCGAGGAAGTTGTGGCTGCACCAGCAGGGCTACGCCGACAAGCTGCGTGGGTGGTTGCTCGATGAGGAGCAGACCGGGTGCACCCCGAAGACGCCGGTCTCGGTCGACGCCTACACCGAGCTCACCTTCGATGACAAGGAGGCGCAGGAACACCAGGAGGAGGAGTACCGGTAGAAGGTCGGCTCGCTGCAGTTCGCGGCGACGACAACGAGGCCGGACATCGCCTTCGCCTGCAGCAAGCTAGTGAGTGGTCTCACGGTGAGGAGTGACCAACACAGGCGCAAGGTCGACCGCTGCCTCGCCTACCTCGCCAACACGCGCGGCACCGCCCTGGAGTTCGGCAGTGGACCTGATTCGCTGAAGCTGGTCGGCTACATGGATGCCGACGACGCCAACGACAAGCAGAACAGGACGAGCACGGGCGACTACGTGTTCGTCTACGGAGGGGCCGCAGTCTCCTGGTCGAGCCAGTGCATCAAGTGCGCGACGCTGCCGTCGACCGAGTCGGAGTACGTGGCGGCAACCGAAGCCGGCAAGGAGGGACGTCGCCTTCGCTCCCTCTTTGTAGAATTCCAGCAACTGGACGCCGTGACGCCGACTGTCCTTTGAGTGGACAACAAGTAGGCCATCACAGTCACCAAGGGCATGGGGTTGACGGGCAACCTCAAGCAAATGGAGCGGCGACAAGCCAGGCTGCAGCACATGGTGAAGCGCGGGAAGTTTTCGCTAAGGTACATCTCGACCGCTGAGCAGCCAGC